CTCATGATGATGATGATGCTGATGATGATGATGATGATGATGATGATGATGATGATGATGTCGATGGTGGTCATGATGCTGCTGATGATGTGGTGATGATGGTGATTCTGGTGATGGTGATGACGGTGATTGTGGTGGTGATGATGATGCTGATGGTGCTGTTGATGAGGATGATGCGGATGGGGGTGCGTGCACGTGAAGGAGGGGGCTGGCCGCGGGCATTCTCTGTGCTGACCGCAACCACCGCGGTCCAAGCCTCTTCCGCCTCAGATAGGCGCTCATGCCCCGCCCCTGTGCCCTAGCCGTCCTCGCTACGCCATACGTGGCCGGCGTCTGGCGGCTGTTCCTGGAGCGGCCTGGGCTGGCGCTGGAGGGCTTCTCGTGGCTGGCGGAGTTCGCGCTGGGCTCGGCGAGGCGCCGCAGGGGGCGGACCACAGATCTGGAGACCGCGAGAGACGCGGATCCTGGAGGACTTCTTCCCGAAGCCGAGGTGTGTACCCCTTGTCCGGCACCTGAGAGGTGCGAGGAGTTGGCCGTCGCGGCTGCCTGCGACTGCGGGGACGTGAGCTGCGAGGCCCGCGAGTGCAGCCCTTGCCCTGTTCCTGAGAGGTGCCCTGAGTTCACGGGGCCGCCCTGGGAGCAGGAGTGTCAGGAGGTGCCGTTGCTTGCCTCTGAGGACGAGCCGGAGCTGACGTCGGTCAGTTGGTGGCAGCTGTGCTTCGGAGCGGCGACTACGTTTCTGAGTGGGCTGCTGGCTTCGTGTGGCTGTCACGAGAGGCCTTGGGAACATGGCGCTCGCCGACCGCACTACGCCATTGCCAGGGCACACGTTCGTGGTTTTCTTCGAGGGTGATGCCTGGGGACACGAACGAGTGCTGGTGTGGCCGCTCTCGGCCTCGTGCTGGTTGATCTACACAGCCAATGGGGATTTCTATGGGGAGGATACCGCTCTGTACGACAAGGTCGTGGCGCTCAAGTCCCTGGGCGAGCGACCCGCAGGGCTGGAGGCGGAGTCAATTGTGCAGTTCGACGGCCCAATCCAGCGGGGCGAGTTCCTGGACCTGATGGAGTCCGCCCAGAGGCACGTCAGCTCGCTGAGGGACCAGCGCGGACTGCCAGATTGGCCTGCGCCCACGCGCTGGATCACGGCCGAAGGGATGCTGGAGGCAGTGCCGCGGCCTCGGCGGCTCGTCGGGCGGGGCCGCCTTCCTATGCCCGGCCCACCCCTGCCGCTGACGGCAGCTGCGCGTGCGCGGTCTGGGCCGGGTGGCGACCTTCGAGGCGACCTCTTTGGGGCCGCACTCAGCAGGGCCGAAGCCGGGGGCGCCCCGGCCGTGGTCTGGCGAGTGGCTGAACCTGGACTGGAGATTGGCGACGTCGGCACGGAGGTTGCTCCGCGCTTGCTGGCGTTCGCAGGCCGCGTACACGGAGTGGCGGTGACTGACGCCGGCATGGAGGTCCCAGTGATAGGCGTCGACCCCGACATGAGCCTGGAGGACTTCAGGACCCAGAGGCTTGCGCTGTTCTCGCCGCCGACGCCGCGTGGGGCGCCGACAGCCGCCGTCGAGCTTGACGCCGATCCAGTCGCAGCTTTCCGCCGAGAGGCTGGAGGGCGTGAGGCGGACGTCGCGGGCGTCGGCAGCCCGCTCGAGGAGCGGCGGGTGGCCGCCACAGCTGCCGGCGCTGAGGAGGCCTCCGCGGATGTCCGAGTGCTCGCGGTCGACTGGGACGCGCAGGGGGAGAGGCACAAGGATTGGAAGATGGTGTGCGGTGAGTCAGTCTCGCACTCTTTCCGAGACTGGCCTCTCGACGGGCCCTGTACGACACTCAGTGTGATGAAGCACATCGATCGCTTTGGCCCGATGCCCACCTCGTGGCTGGAGGCCTGGGCACGACGGAAGCACATGTCGCCGTCGGACAGGGCTTTTCACGAGCTGCGGGTGCTCGCCGAGAGCTTCGAGATGTTCGGGTGCTACGACCAGGTGAACATGCCGTGCTTGGCGGGGATCGAGGTGCTGATGCGGAGGTTCCAGACCATCATCGAGGCTCACGCTGTGCCTGGCGCCAAGCCGAACTACTCCATGGCGGGAGTGTACTCGGGCACGGCGATGCTGGAAGATGCAGTGGCGCCAGACCTCCGCGTGTACGGCGCCAAGAGGCTCAAGGAGAAGGTGCTGGAGGGCAGCGTGCATCGTGGAGGACTCACACTCAAGCACGTGGAGGACGGCGAGGACGACGACACAGGTGCGGCCGGCTCGGCCGGGGCCCCAGCGGGTCCGAAGGGCGGCGGGGGACGCGGAACCGGGAAGCCGAAGATGAAGGCCAAACCCGGGCTCGCCGCGCCCCCGCCTTCGACATGAGTGAGGCGCGCGGCGGGGGGACTGGGCCGCCCCCCGCCGCCTATTTTGGGCCCTGCCTGGGAGTGCATCGGCGTCTGCCCGCCTTCGAGGTCCCAGCCAGGCTGGGCGGCTCCCCCCGTCGGTCCAGACACCGACACGGGCTGCGCGTGGAGGAGCTCAGGCGCAAGAACGAGACCTTGGATGCACTTCATTGGTGTCTGGGCAGCCGCTCCTCAGCGCGCTCAGAGCCATCTGAATTCGATGAGAAGGCCGTGGCGACCCTCGTCGCCCCTGTCGTCGCGAAGCCGGTGACAGCGCCCTCTCAGGAAGAAGCCGCCAGAGTGCTTCTCCGTGGTCATCTCGGCTACGACGCCGAGGAGACCCGCGCCACCGTCGTGCCCTACGAGTTTGGTTCCGTCTCGCTCCCTGACCATGTCCATGACGCTGCAGACGTGACAGAGGTGCTTGGCGCTGAGGACCGCCTGATTATCGAGGGTTGGCAAAAGAGTATGATCGGGGGAGCGTAAGACCCGGGTTTGCCAGGACTCGGGTTCGCCATCGTTTTTTGACGACCGCGCCTCGGATTTTGACGAGGAGGAGTTTCGTGGGATGTCTGCAGCGGGAGGCCTCGTCAAAATGCAGGCTCGGCCTCGTCATTTTTCTGACGACCTCGTCGGGTATTTCCGAGTCTCCTGTACCCAGGTCTTACGTCCCCCTGATATGATGCGGTCTACCGATGAGTTTAGACAGCTCAACGAGTGGCTGGGTGACATCAAACCGTTCTGGGACAAGAGGCTGTCGCGGAACCAGAAGGCCTATCGGCAGTTCATCCTGGACTTGGACCGACGGGGCCTGATCAAGTGGACCACTGACCCCATTGAGCACGCGGGCCTTTTCTTTGTTGGCAAGAAGGACAAGTCCCTGAGGTTCATCATTGACGCGAGGCGGGGGAATCGCCGATCCAGGGCCCCCCCTCACACGGACTTGATCACGAGCGACGGGCTGTCCAGGATAGAGTGCGAGCCGGGCTTCAGCGCCGACCCCAGTTGCCGCTTCACGCTGGGTGTGGGGGACGTGGAGAACTGCTTCCACCAGCTGCGGCTGCCCGAGGGGATGCACCGCTGTTTCGCGCTGCGGCCGATCGCCGCAAAGTACACCCCACTGCGAGATGACATGGCGCTCAACGCCGCGGTCTATCCCTGCCTGGCCTCCTTTCCCATGGGGTTCACCTGGTCCCTGTGGGTGGCTCAGAAGTGCAGTGAGACAGTCCTCAACCAGGTGCACCAGTTGGGACCTGGCAGGAGGATCACGGACCACACGGAGCCGGTCGTGCTGCGGAAGGGCGCCGAGACCCAGTACACCCTGTACGTGGACAACCCGGGCGTGTTCGGGAGTTCGGAGGCGCCCGTGCAGCTCGCGCTCGGCGCCGGCTGCGAGGCGCTGGGATCGGTGGGCCTCAAGACGCACGAGCACGAGCTGATGGCGGGAGGAGGCGAGACGTTGGGCTGCGTGCTGGACGGGCACCTGCTTGAGACGCGGGTGACCGAGAAGCGGAGGTGGCGCATCGATGGCGCCTTTCGCTGGGCCCTGCGCCGCCGGCGCCTGAGTGGCAAGCAGCTCGAGAGGCTCGTCGGTCACGCCACCTTTGTCAGCCTGCTCGATCGCACTGCCTTGAGTGTGTTCAACGCCTGCTACGCCTTCATGCATCGGCACGGTGACAACATGGCCGTTGTCTGGCCAACGGTGCGACTGGAGCTCCAGGCCTTCATTGGTTTGTTGCCGCTCGTGCGCGCGCCGTGGGATCTACGGTGGTGCGAGACTATTATAGCTACAGATGCCTCCCTCGAGGGATGGGGGCATTGCCGTTGTGCTCTGACGGCCAAAGCTGTGGCCATTATTGCTCGTACCTCAGAGGTGTCTCGCTTCCGACGGGTGCGTAACGTCGGAGCTCGCGAGGCCGCAAGTGCAGCACTGTATCCTTTAGATGGGGCAGGCGAAAAACACCGTCAGACGCCATTCATCGACTCCGCCAGTGTTGTCGACATAGGGGAGGCGTTGCCGTCGTCGTCAGGGGAGGAGGTCTGGATGATCGACAGCTTGTTCCCGGAGGTGCCGTTCGGGGAAGGGGGCGTGTTCTCGGCCCGGGGCTGCATCACTGAGAAAGATTTGATATCACCTTGGAGAGTCACTGGAAAGGGGAGGTGGAAGTTCGGAGAGCGTATCCTGGAGTTAGAAGCTCGTGCATTGGTTTTAGGTTTGGAAAGTTTGATCGCCGGGGGAGTCCGTGACAGTCGCAATCTTTTCCTGGTCGACAACATGGCTATTGTGCTTTCCTTTGCACGAGGGAGATGTAAGAACTATATTGTGCTGCAACAGATTCGACGCTTTCGTGCTCTATGTCTTATTCACAATATCCGTCCGTATTTTCGCTGGATCAAGTCCGAGTTCAACCCGGCAGACTTCCCATCGCGAGACGCCGATGGAGTCGGGCCGGGGGCAGGCAGCCGCTGCGGCCAGGCGGACGGCGGCGGCCAAGAGGGCCGCGCGCCTGGCCCCGCCAAGGCGCCCAGCCCCGAGCGGCCCCTCGCCTGCCCGCCCCGGGTTGGGCCAGGGAAGGGCGCCGAGGCCGACGGCCGCCGTGGCGCGGAGGCCGGCGCCCAGGCGAGCCCCCGGGCTGACCGCCCCCGCCTTGCTGGGGCCGCGGCCGGCGCCGAAGCTGGAGAGGCTCTCGGTGGAGGAGGCGGCGCGGGGTCCGCTGCTGGCCGAGGTCCCCGCGGGGGGCGCCGACGGCCTGGACCGCGACGCGGCGTCCGCGGCCCTCGAGAGCTCCGACAGCGACGACCTGGACGAGACCACCGTCGCTCGGAGCAAGCGGAGGCGGACCAAGTACCTGCTAGCAGCTCGGCACTCCATGGATCAGTTGAGCACTTTGCTGGAGTCGGAGGCCGTGCAGCCCAAGACCAGGGACTACTACCACCTCCTGGTCTCTCGCTTCTACACCTGGGCGAAGCTGAGGCGACTGCAGCTCCACCCGCCTTGCCGCCTGGATGGGGCGCTGTGTATCCATATGACGGAGCTTTTCCTGAGCGGGCGGCAGGCGAATGTGGGGGAGAAGCTGCTAGCTGGTGTCTTGCATATCCTCCCGGAGTTTGGGAAGGTGGGGCACCTGTCGCTCCCGCGCGCCTGGAGGGCAGTCAAAGGCTGGAGACGCCTGTGCCCGGGTCGGAGCCGCCACCCCATGCCGCTGTGTGTGTGGGCGGCCGTATGCCACTGGCTGATCGAGCAGGGCAAGCGCCGCGAGGCGGCCGCGATCCTGCTCGCCTTCATGTGCTACCTGAGGCCGTCAGAGCTGCTCAGCGTGAGGCGTGGGCATCTGGTGGCCCCGGTGGGGGGCGTATCCCGCCACTGGAGCTTGCTGGTGGCGCCCGAGGAGTTAGGCGTCCCCACCAAGGTCGGTGCACTCGACGACAGCCTGCAGCTGGACATGCGGGAGCTCAAGTGGCTGGATGTGGTCTGGGGCGAGCTCAGGGCGAGGCCAGCGACAGAGAGGGCCTTCCCCTTCACGTATCCAGACCTACTGGCGGACGCGCAGGCTGCGGGTGCCACGCTGGGGTTGAAGCTCGTGCCGTATCAGCTGCGACACAGCGGAGCCTCCCACGACACGCTGCGCGAGCTTCGGAGCTTGCAGGAAGTGATGGAAAGGGGGCGGTGGCGCAAACTGAAGTCAGTAGCACGATACGAGAAGCATGCTCGAGTGGGGTTGGAGTTCGGAAAGCTGGGCGCTTTAAGCTTTGACCCGAAGCCATTGTCTGCGATGCGAGTCACTGCTCGCGGATGTGTTCCTCGGCAGATGCGCCCCGCTAGCCTTCGGTCGCCAGCATGTGTGAGTAAGACGTATGTAGCAGATTGTTTCGCTGGAGGTGGAGTAGTTAGCAAGAAAATTCGGTCGAATGGTTTCAACGCTCGCGAGTGGGACCTCTTGCATGGGGCCTCGGGAGATCTGTGTAGTAGCTCAGTGCGAAGGCCCATCAAGCAAGATCTCGCTAACAGACGTTGTATAGCCTTGATGCTCGCTCCCCCTTGTAGCTCGTGGTCTGCCGCTCGTGATCGTACATATCCAATTCGGTCTCGGAAGTATATTAGGGGGATCCCTGGGTTGGGGGCAAACGACCAGGCCAAGGTCGATCTCGGAAATGCCACGCTGGACGCAGCTCTCGACTTGGCCCGTGCCGCCCAGTCCGCCGGGGTCCCCTGGGTTCTCGAGAACCCCCACACTTCCAAACTGTGGCATGATCAGAAGATGAAAGTTTTTGTTGCACGCAGCAGTGCCATTCCAGTTGTTACAGATTTTTGTCAGTGGGGTAAGCCGTGGCGGAAACGGACCCGTTTTTTAGTCGGTAATGTGTGCCCTGACGACCTTGTCAAGTTGAATCGGGTCTGCTCAGGGAGGGGTCTTTGTAGTCGCACAGGCCGCCCTCACCAGCACTTGGAAGGCGGGGGGCCAAAAGGAATTCGCTGGACTGTCCTGGCAATGCCGTACCCTGCGCGCCTTGCTCACCTGCTGGCTTCCATTCTGGTCTCGAAAGCCCGCAACGAGTATAACATTTGAGAACTCTTTCCTTCGGATTGGGAGGTTTGGGATGCTTGTCTCACGTTGTTCAGTTTCTTCGTTCGCTCACTTTAATCTTTTCGAGGCTCTCGTGCCCTCGCCCGCTCGCTCCCAGACGTCGCGGCGATGGCACAAGATGGTTAGTTGACAAATACATCGTCGAGCGGCCTGCTTTTCCCCTCCTGGGGGTGCGTGCGCGTGAAGGAGGGGGCTGGCCGCGGGCATTCTCTGTGCTGACCGCAACCACCGCGGTCCAAGCCTCTTCCGCCTCCCTGTGCCAGCCCAATGCCTCTACTCCAGGATGCTTGTCTCACGTTGTTCAGTTTCTTCGTTCGCTCACTTTAATCTTTTCGACGCTCTCGTGCCCTCGTCCGCTCGCTCCCAGACGTCGCGGCGATGGCACAAGATGGTTAGTTGACAAATACATAGTCGAGCGGCCTGCTTTTCCCCTCCTGATGATGATGATGATGGAGCTGATGATGATGATGACGATAATGGTGAAGGTGATGGTGATGCTGATTATGATGGTGATTCTTGTGGTGGTGATTATGATGATGGTGATGATGAGGATGCTGAGGATGATGATGTTGATGATGATGATGGAGCTGCTGATGATCACGATGACGATGACGGTGATGTTGATGCTGATTATGATTATGATTCTTGTGGTGGTGATCATGATGATAAGGATGATGGTGGTGGTGGTGATTATGATGATAATGGTTATGGTGCTGATGGTGATGATGATGCTGCTGATGCTGACGATGAGGATGACGATGGTGATGATGGTGATGATGATGAGGACGGTGATGATGATGATGCTGATTACGATGATGATGATGATGATGATGATGATGCCGATATTCATGAAGACGACGATTGCGATGGTGATGATGCCGACGATGACGATGACGATGGTGATGCCGATGATGCTGATGATACTGCTTATGATGCTGGTGCTAATGCTGACGATGACGATGATGCTGCTGGTCATGATGATGGCGATCACGAGGATCATGCCAAATATGATGATCGTGTCGATGATTATGATGATGATTGCGATGACGATGAAACAAATGATGGTGATGATGATGATGCTGGTGATGATCATGATGATGATGATGGTGATGATGATGCTGATTCTGGTGATGGTGATGGTGGTGGTGGTGGTGATGATGATCATGATGGTGGTGGTGATGGTGATGCTGATGGTGCTGATGCTGCTGTTGAGGACGATAGCGACGGTCGTGGTGATGATGAGGATGATGATGATGTGAATGATGATGGTGCTGATGCTGATGGAGATGATGATGATTGTGATGACGATGATAATGATGATGGCGATGTTGATGACGACGACCATTTCGATGACGATGATGATGCCGACGATGATGATGCTGATGATGATGCTGATAATGATGATGGCGATGACGATGATGCTGCCGATATTGAAAATGGCATTGCTGATGCTTATGCGAATGATGACGATGGTGATGATGATGCTGACCATGATGCGGATGGTGATGATCATCATCATGATGATGACAAAATCGATGGCGATGATGGTGATGGTGATGTTGATGATGATGATGATGATGCTGGTTACGATCTTGGAGATGATGATGATGATTATGGTGGTGATGGTGGTGGTGCTGGTGATGATGATGATGATGGTCACGATGAGGATACTGATGATGATGATACTCATGATGATGCCGATGTTTATGGTGATGGTGTGATGATGCTGATCATGCTGATACTGGCGCTGATGTTGATGATGCTGATGCTGCTGCTGATGATGATGATGATGTCGATGGCGATCATGATGATGATGATGATGCTGATGATGATGGTGATGCTGATTATGATGATGCTGATGATGAGGATGATGAGGATGATGCTGTTGATGATGATGATGGTGATGGTGATGAGGGTGATGGAATGGTAATTCTTAACCGTGGGAAAGTACCGGTTAACCGTGAGAAAAAAAAAAACAATACGTAACAACAATACGTAAACACAATACGTAAACGCGAGACAACAACACAACATGTACCAAACAAAACGTAAACACAATACGTAAAAACAATACGTAAAGACAACCACGTGAGCGCCACACGTAGATACAACACGTACAAACAAAACCACGTACAAACAAAACCACGTACAACCAAAACCACGTACAAACAAAACCACGTACAAACAAAACCACGTACAAACAAACCACGTGAAAAAACAAAACCACGTAAAAAACAAAACCACGCAACAAGCAATACGTGAAGCAATACGTAAAATCAATACGTAAACACAACACGTAAAAACAATACGCAACACAATACGTAAGAACAATCCGCAAACACAATACGCCAAAACAACAGTACACAACAACACCACGTAACACCAACACGTACAAACAAAACGTGAGTGCCACACGTAGATACAGCACGTGCAAACACAACCACGTAAACACAACATGTAAAACCAATACGTAGAACCAATACGTAAAGACAACACGTAACAACATTTTTTTTTTTTTTTTTTTTTTTTTTTTTTTTTTTTTTTTTTTTTTTTTTTTTTTTAAAAAAAAAAAAAAAAAAATAAACAATACGTAAATACAAAGACGTGAGCGCTTCACGTAGATACAACACGTACGAACAAAACCACGTACACACAAAACCACCGAAAAAAAACAATATGTGAAGCGATGCGTAAAACTAAAACGTGAGACAATACGTAAAACAATAAGTAACCACGATAATCAAACACAGTACGCACACAAAAAAAAACAGCACGCAGCAACAACACGTAGCAACAACACGTACAACGAAACACGTGAATGCCATTCGTAGATACACCATGTGCAGTCAAACCACCGTAAAAACAACACGTAAAAACAATGCGTAAAAGCAATGCGCAACAACACTACGTAAACACAACACGTAAGAACAACACACAACAACACATAAAAAAAACACGAACGCAACACGCCGAGACAACACGTACAAAATTACACGTGAACGCAACATGTAGATGCAACGCGTACAAACAAAACCACGTACAAACAACACGAGAAACCACGTAACACCAACCCGAAAACACACCACGTACAAACAAAACCACGTAGAAACATCACCATATCACAACTCGCGAAAAAACAACAACACGATAACACAACACGTACAAACAACACCACGTACGAAACAACAACACGTCTTAACAACACGTACACACAACACGGACTTCGGAAACGAGTTCGTGGCACGAAATCCAGAGCGAAGATGGGGTCGAGGGCTCCTTCCCTCCTCCTCCTCTTCCTCCTCCTCTTCCTCCTCCTCCTCATTCTCCTCTTCCTCCTCCTCCTCTACCTCCTCCTCTTCCTCCTCCTCCTCCTCTTCCTCCTCCTCCCTTCTTCCTCCTCCCTCCTCCTTTTTCCCTCCTCCTCCTCCTCTTCCTCCTCCTCCTCCTCCTCCTCCTCCTCCTCCTCCTCCCTCTTTCTCCCCCTCCTCCTCATCCTCCTCATCCTCATCCTCCTCCTCCTCCTCCTCCTCCCTCCTCCTTTCCCTCCCGCCTCCTCCTCCTCCTCCTCCTGCCCTCCTTCTCCCCCTCCTCCCACCCTCCTCCTCCTCCTCCTCATCCTCCCCCTCCGTTTTGCTTACGTATTGTTTTTACGTGTTGTTTTTACGTGTTGTGTTTACGTGTTGTTCTTACGTGTGTTAAACGCAATGTTACGTGTAGTTCGCGGTGTGATTACGTGCTTCTACGCGTTATGCTGTCTACATATGGTTTTTCGTGTTGTTTTTACGTGTTGGTTTGATGTGTTGTGTTGACGTCGTTTCATGTTTTACATGTTGTTTTGCGTACTGTTTTACGTATTGTTTCTTCACTGTTAATTTAAACCTTCGTTGCATTTGCGTATTACGTATTGATTTACGTGTTGTACGTGCTGTCCGTACGTGTTGTGACGTATTGTTTTACGTGATGTTCTACGTGTTGTTTTACGTGTTGTTCTTACGTGTTGTTTTACGTGTTGTTTTTAATTGTTGTTTTTAGGTGGGTCGAACGAGCTTTCACGTGTATTACGCGATGTGCTTACGTAATGTTTACGCGTTATGATCACGTGCTGGTTTAACGTATTGTTTTTACGTATTGTTTTTATGTGTTGTTTTTTCCGTTCTGAGTTTTTTTTGTTGTTTTTAGGTATTGTGTTTAAGCGTTGTTTTGACGTGTTGTGTTTACGTATTGTTTTTGTGTGTTGTTTTTACGCAATGTTTTACGTGTCTTTTACGTTTACGTATCGCTTTTACATGTTGGTTTCATGTGTTGTTTTTCCTCACGTTTAGATCACGCCCTCCGATGATGGTGAGGATGATGATGCTGATGCTGGTGATGCTGATTCTGATGGTCATGATGATGATGATGATGATGATGATGATGATGATGATGGCGATGGCGATGGCGATGCTGATGATGACGCTGCTGCTGATGATGATGCTGCTGATGATGATGATGATGATGACGACAATGATGAGTATGGAAATTCTGATGATGATGATGATGGTAATGATGACGACGACGATGACGATGACGATGACGATGATGGTGACGATGCTGCTGATGAGGATTATGATGCTGGTGATGCTGGTGATGATGATGATGATGATGATGATGATGATGATGATGACGCGGCTGATGATGATGATGCTGATGCTGATGCTGATGCTGATGCTGCGGATGAGGATGAGGATGAGGATGATGATGATGATGATAATGATGATGATAATGATGATGACGATGATGATGATGATGATGATGATGATGAGCTCATGAGATGATGATGATGAAGATGAAGATAAGATGATGATGCTGATGCTGATGATGAGAATTGATGATGATGATGATGATGGATTGATGGATAATGATGATTGAATGATGATGAAGATGATGATGATGATGATGATGATAGAAGATGATGATGAGATGATAGATGATGATGATGATTGATGATGATGATGATGCGATGATCATAACGATGTGATGAGGGAGGAGGAGGAGGAGAAGAGAAGGAGAGGAGGAGGAGAAGGAGGCGGAGGAGCCAGAGGTGAGGAGGAGAAGGAAAAGGATAATGAGAAGGCGAAGGAGGATGAGGAAGAGGAGGGGAGGAGGATAGAAGGAAGAGGATGAGGTGAGGAGAAGGAGGGGAGAGAGCAGGAGGTTGGAGAAGGAGGAAGAGGAGACACAGCGTCGAATAGGGGGCGGAGCGATTCCTCCTCCCCAGGGAGGGAGGGAGGGAGGAGAGGAGGAGGAGGAGGAGGAGGAGGAGGAGGAGGAGGAGGAGGAGGAGGAGGACCGTAGCCATTTTGGCTCAAGGGGCCTGCTCCTGAACTTCCAACCTCGCTCGAGAGATTGAGGCTTGTTTGTTTCTCAGCATCCCCACGAGACTTTCGTGGCCAGAGGTTCGCGACCCCACCCGCAATCATACCTTTCCCAAGTCAGTTTGCTCTGCCTTCCCTCCAGCGCGCGCGATGGTGGGCTGGGGATGCAGAGGTTGCAATGTGTGGAGCCGTGGCGCCAAAGCCAAGTGCTTCAGCTGCGGCTCCTATCGACCCGATGGACCAGGCCCGTTGTACGTGGACCCACAGCCCCCGTAAGGAGCTTGGACTCTCGTCGCAGGTCGTCGTCGCCAGGCAAAGCCCCAGCAAGGTCTCCCACCTTGGGCCTATCGTGACCCCGTTCGCGGACCAGGACCAGGACCAGGAGGAGGAGGCGGCAAGGGCTGGGACAAGCAGGGTGGCAACAAAGGAGGAGGTAAAGGAGGAGGAGGGCAGTCTCCCCCCTTTCCGAGCAGCAGATGGAGTTCTCGGTGGAGATGCCAGAGGAGAAACGACAGATCGGAAGCGCGTCCCTCGCGCAGAGCCAGCGAGACAAAGTTGCGTACCGCCGTCGTTTGCGAGCAGCGGGGTTGCAGGGCCCGTCTCAGAACAAGGATGTTCCCCCTCAAGTTCGGTCAGCCCAGTTTCAAGTTCTCCAGGCAGGGCAGCGAGCTGAGGCAGCCAGGACAGCAGCAGCAGAGGCAGCAGCGGCGGTCTTGGAGTCAGAAGACCTTTTGGGTCAAGCACGGAAGGAGCTCGATGACGCAAAACGTGAAGCAACCCAGAAGTTGGGCACAGGGCCAACGGTGGATCAGGCCATCCCCGCCGAGCTCTGGGCAGGCCTCGACACTTTGGCGACGCTCCTTGGCAAAGTTCCCACCCCGTCTGAAGGCGAGCCCACCGAGGAGGCCAAGCAGGCGAAGGAGGCGCTCCAGAAGCTCACGAGCCGCAAGCCCAAGCCTGAAGCTACTGGTGGTGGCGACGCTGCTGGGGCTGATGGGGCTGGCCAGGGACAAGCCGCAGGCGCTGGAGGCAGTGCCGCAGGAGCCGCAGGTGACGCTCCCATGTCAGAGCCCCCCAGGCACTGAGGAAATTGGAGGAGCTGAATATGCCAAGCGAGTACGAGAGCTCATGGAGAAATGGACCGCAGAAGACAATGAACAGCAACGGCAAGATGCAATGGTTGCCCTCTTCCAGGAGCTTGCAGCCAAACGCGGAAGGACGCATGGGTAACACGAACCTGATGCGCATCGGCCCTCTTTGCTCTAGCCAAGGGCAGAGGGCGCATCTGGCCGCTACACTCACTCCTTGTGGAGCAGAGAGCGCGTTCGAGTACTTCGGCCAGACTCACTCCCTTTCGTGGGAGCAGAGGGCACATCAGGTTGCTACACTCACTCCGCCAGGAGCAGAGAGCACGGTCCAGTACTTCGGCCAGACTCACTCTCCACTGGAGAGCAGAGGGCACAGTTGGTCGCTACACTCACTCCCTAGGGAGCAGAGAGCGCGCTCCAGAACCGCAGCTCATCATAGAGGGCGCCTGTCTGTGTCTACTTCGTGTGCCGCAGCTCATCATAGAGGGCGCCGGTCTGCGACTACTTCCACGGGGGGACGCTCTGCTTCGGCGGAGGCCCATTGCCCCCTGCCTGAGCCAGCCATGTTCGCCAGGCCCCCGTCGGCAGGGGACTTTAATGCTCTGGGCTTCGGCCTTGCACCTTCGGAGCTGGCCGAGAGTGATGGCTTGGGCAGGGGCGCGCGTCGACCACGACGCAGATCGCCAAGGGGGGCGAGATGGAGCTCAGCTTCTACTTCGCCAATGTCACGTCCTGGAATGACAAGGGGATGTCCTACTTGCGTGATCAGACCAAGGCACTCGCCAAAGCCTCGGTCGTCGGCATTGCCGAGCACCACCTGATGAAGGAAAAGCTCAATGAGATGAAGAAGAAGATCTCGAAATTTGGCTCTGGGCAACAAAGTCGGTTGCAGCAGTGCCCACCTCGGGGCAAGGAAGAAGTGGACATGGTGGCGTTTGGCTTCAGGTACGGAAAGAGCTGCACTGGCGCACGCTCCCCGACAAAATGACGGACATCGACCAGTGGACGGCCATCACTCTCAGGATGCATAATGTTGGCGATGTCATCTTCACTGTGCTGTACTTGGCCAGTGGGGTGGGTTTGGCAGGGCCCAACGTCGAGGTCCTTTCAGCAGTGGCCACTTACCTCAAAGTCCGAGGCTCACCCTTTCTCATCATGGCAGATTGGAACATGGAAATGGAAGAAGTAGATCAGATACATCTCTCAACTTATCTTGACGGCAGCTGGATGGCACCGGCTGGAGATCACCCTGGAGGCCATCGCTTGATTGATTACTGCCTGGTCGCAAGCAGCATCAAGCACATGGTAAAGCTCGAGTGGGACCTGCAGGGCCCCTGGGCGTCGCCACACGTCGGCATCAAGGGCGCGCTCAAGGTCGGCGGCCAGAAGCTCATGAAGCGGATCATGGGGCAGCCGACGGAGTGCCAGCTGGCGTTTGGACCAGACCGACCTTGGCAGCATCACCTCGAGGTAGTGCAGCAGCGCATTGACAAGGGCATGCGGCGCGGCAACCTGAAGCAGCGCAAGCTGGGGGGCGTGGACCACGTCCACATGGAGTTCGCGATGGCGACGGACAGCCTGCTCCTCGGTAGGCAAGGCGTCTTTGCTCCAGCAGTTGCATTCTTGAGAGGAGAGTACCCTGCCACGAAAACTTGTTCCTGTCCAACCGACCAAGCCTCAAGGCTGGTTAGCGGAATCGAACTTCCTAGCCCAATGGAGTTGTCTAGGCGCTAAGCTTCACAAATTAATCGGCTTGAAGAAGAAAGGGCGGGGCGGGGGGGCTAGTTTAGGGGTGGTGGAGAGCGCGCGGAAGTTGAAGGGGGGGGGGGGGGGGGG